CGGGGCCACGAAGGGCAGCGAGGGGGCCACGAAGGGCTGCAACGGGGGCACGAAGGGCGGCGAGGGGGCCACAAAGGACTGCAACGGGGCCACGAAGGGCTGCAACGGGGCCACGAAGGGCTGCGACGGGGCCACGAAGGGCAGCGAGAGGACCATGAAGGGCTGCAGCGGGGCCACGAAGGGCAGCGAGGGGGCCACAAAGGGCTGCAACGGGGCCACGAAATGCAGCGAGGGGGCCACGAAGGGCAGCGAGATCCCGATTCCTAAGTAAGCTGTGAGGGAGTCCTAGGCGTGAGCGCGACTCGTGGGTGCCTGAGTGTCGGGAGCGCGGCGCTTGAGTAAATTGCGGGAGAATTCCAGCGCAAGAGGGAGATTCTTGAATACATTGCAAGCAAGTCTCCAGCGAGAGCGCGACTCCAGAGCGCCGAGAGAGCGATTCCTCTATAAATTGTAAGGACGTCCCCAGCGAGAGCGCGATTCCAGAGTAAACTGCGGGGAAGTCTCACGCGGGAGCGGGGATCTGGCTAAATTTTGAGGAAGTCTCAGGCGGGAGCCGTTGTTGTTGTAACCCGGGGGCCAAGGGCGCAGTTTGACCCCCCTGACTTTCCCTGATGAAAAGCAAGGTGCGAGCCTCGGGGGAAGCACTTCAATTGAAAAACGCAATTGTCACCGGAGGGGGGATCAACAAAAATTATTCTTCAAAAGTGAGCGCTCAACAACAACAACAACAACAACAACAACAACAACAACAACAACAACAACAACAGCAGCAGCAGCAGCAACAACAGCAACACAAAACAACAAAGACAACATCAACAACAGCAAACAAAAAAAAACAATAGCAACAATTACAACAACGACAACAACTACAATCATTGTATGACTGTTCGCTCTTTTCTGCTCGCGTGCCATTCAACACGTATACCCCAAACACTCGATACCCGCCCTCTTCGTCCTCGATCGTACCCATTAGGGGTATGTCGTTCTTACCTGCAACGTGTATTTCATGCAGCCACTACGGCATGGGAAGAGAGGACGGATGGAAGAAAGGAACAAGGGGGAGGTAGGAGGATGGAACACAAGAGAGAGTAGCAGAGGGGGGGGTAGGAGCAGAAAACACGTGCCAGAACCAGACGGGCAGATCGGGCGGGTAGGCTCTAGCAGGCGGGTCATGAAAGGGCACTTCAATTGGGAAAACACAATGTGCACTGGAGGGGGATCAACAATAATAACTCTTCTATAGTGAGAGTTCCAACAACAACGGCGACAGCAGCAACAACAACGGCAGCAGCAGCAACAACAACAACAACAGCAGCAACGACAACGGCAGCAGCAGCAACAACAACAGCAGCAGCAACGGCAACGGCAGCAGCAGCAACAACAACGGCAACCACAACAGCTTCCGCAGCAGCAGCAGCAGCACAACATCGGAGGCACCGCACAACGTCGGGCTGCAGCGGGCGCTCCGAGGCGCACCGGGGCCACGCCGCCGACCTCTCTGGCCACGAAACAAAAAAACATACCGTCGGGAAATAAGACAAAGCCAGAACGAGGATACATTCGGACGAAGGATTGCAAAAAAACAAAGGATTGCAAAGGGTTTTTTTGCAAACCGTCGGGAAATAAGACAAAGCCAGAACGAGGATACATTCGGGTGGGAGTAAGTCGAAAATCTCTCAGATCCGGCGGCTCCGGAGGATGCATCGGGCGCCGCGGCCTTCGCAGAGCGCTCCAGAACGCTCGGAGGGCATTCCGGAACGAGATGGAGCGGATTCAACCTCGGCCCAGAGCCTCGTCCGAAGCGTGTCGCGGCGGCAGCCCTGGCGACGTGCTGTGCCCTGCGAGCGGACAGCGTGTCGCTCCGAGCCGAGAGGCGGGAGGAGCGAAAAGCTCGGGGCGGTGGCGCCGGGGGGCCGGGGGACAGCGTGTCGCACCGCAGCGTGGTGGGCCATGGCTGGCGGAGCGACTCGCTAAGCCAAAATTCCTGACCGTAAACTGTTGGAGCTCCGCGTGGACTTCGTGGATCTGCGCTGGAACCCCAGCGCTGGCGCGCGGAGCGCGCCAGGGGCGGCGCTGGAGGCGCCACCAGGGAGGCCCAGCCCAAATCCAAGAAATCCGCGCGGAGCTCCAAAGATGTACGCCTGTGCCGCATCTTCTTCCCCAAAGACAAAAGGGGATCCTCGAAAGCGGGCTCTCCTCGCCCTGCACAGGCAAAGCGTAGTCGAGGCGAGACTCGTGCTGTTTTTTGTTGGGGGGGGGCAGACAGGATGGAGGAGGGGGGAGAAGGGGGAGGAGACATCTGATCCCTACCCCCACCCAGCATCGATTCTCCTGAATCGATGGGAGGCGGGGGTAGGGATCGAATGATTTATTTCACCACTTGTTCGACGAACTCCGAGCCCTACCCTTACCGCCAATCGAGTTGCAGAAACCGTTGATTGCCGAGGGTCTGGTACGGATTTCGCAACCGAAAGGGGGGGAAAGGGGGGGGCGCGAGAGGGGGATTTTTGGATTGGCTCCTCGCTGAAGCAGACGGTTTGTCGAGACTGGGCGGCGCTGCAGCTAGCATAATATTAGTCAGACTAAAAACTTCTGCACGGGCACCAAGGACGCAAGGACAGTAGTTCTCCCCCCTGAGTCAAAATGACCTCCCACCCTTAACTGGCACAGGCTGCGAGAGGGGGGCTCAGGGAGGGAAAGTGGGGAAACCAAAAAACCTGATACCGCTACTCCCCGGACCTCTCGCGGGCTGCGTTCTGACCGGGATTTCTGGGCGACTACAGCGGTGGCGACGAGGGCGCCTCCCAGGAGGCAAGAGGGGAAACCGAGGGAAACGTAGCGGCAGGGGCAGCTAGTTCCCCCTCGGGCAAAGGAGGCCAGGGGGGGGTCACGAGCAGGGGGTCGGGGCCCCCGCGCCGCGCCCGCCAGGCACCGGCCAGGGAGCCGGGCGGGTCCCCTGCCTCCCCTGGGGCCACACGTGCCAGGCGCCCGCGGGCCGCCGGACTGCTCGCCCGGCGGGTCCAGGCATCCGTCCGCTGGTGCAGAGCGCACTCGAAGTGTGATCGGCGATCGGAGGCGACGGAGCAGTCAACCCATGTGGTGGGGATGCGCGGTAAGGATGCCGAGGCTCTTCGAGCGGGGCTGGCCATCGAAAGTGGTTGAGGATGGACCGACCCGTGTGGTGGGGATGCGCGGTAAGGATGCCGAGGCTCTTCGAGCGGGGCTGGCCATCGAAAGTGGTTGAGGATGGACCGAAGATGAACGAAGAGGCAAGGATGCAAGGGTACCCTGGGGAAGTGGATCATCCTGACTATCGGGGTTGACTGTACGATCCAGGCAAGCATCATCATGTTAAAAGCCTGGGCCACCTTCCCGGAAGTATCTCTAGGCATGCATGGGCCACTTTCTGGTTTAAGCGCTGGAGGGGCGAGTGTGCTCAAAAAGCTTGGCCAGCTTTTTGGCCAGCTGGTCAAGAAACGCTGGCCCAGCTCTTCGGGAGGAGGCTGGTCTTAATCAGATGGCCGACTGTAGTGCACACTCGAAGTGTGATCGGAGGCGACGATAAGGGCAAATAGCCCAGGGGGAGCAACACATGTATCCAGGGGCGTCGATGGTCCATGTCGTCGGCGAGACTCCGGCAGGGATACGTGTGCTGCCCGCTCCTTCGCTATTCGCCTCTATCGTCGCCTCCGATGTGAGCAGGTAACCATGAGTGGCGACATCCGAAACCCACCCCCACCAACCATCGATTCTCCTCAATCGGCGCGGGGTACGGGTAGAGTTCGGACTTCGCCACACGTTCGACGAACTCCGAACCCTACCCCCGCCGCCCATCGAGCCTCCAGAGTCGTGGATCGGCAAAGGCAGGGCCCAGCTTTCGCCGCCGAAACCGCCTGCGAGCCCTACCCCCTGCAGGCCAGATGCCCGAAAACATGCCTGGCGCTCGCTGGGCGGGGCTGGGCCCCGGCGGGGAGACGCGGCAGCACGCAGGGACTCGGGGCAGGGGCGGCCAGGGCGGCGCGGCCCGCCCTGGCCGCAGCGCCCAAGGGAGGCGGAGCCACAGAGGGGGCCGCCGCGCGAGGGGGCTGCGCCGTGAGGGCAGGGGATGCTGCGCGGGGGGGGGGGGGGGGCAGCGCCCGAGGAGCTGCGCATCTGAGGCCGGGGGCAGGGCGGCACCACAGAGCGGGCCGCGCCGCTGCAAGAGCGGCGAGGCCGGGAGGGGAGGAGAGGAGACGAGGGAGGGGAGGGAGGGGAGGGGGAGGGGAGAGGAGGGGAGGAGGGGAGAGGAGGAGGGGAGGGGAGGGGAGGGGGGAGGGGAGGGGAGGGGAGGGGAGGGGAGAGGGGAGAAGAAGAACGGAGAGAGAGGAGAGAGAGGAGAGAGAGGAGAGAGGCAAGCCGGGTGCGCTCGCGCCACACCTGACGTCCTACCCGGTCCCTCCCATTCCATCCCACCGTGTACTACGCCCGTGCAAGATCGCAGCAGCATGTCTCCGAACCGATGAGCTACGACGAGGAAAAACGAAGAAAAATGGATACCGAAAACAAGTGCAACTTGACACCCTCCTGCCAGATTGAAGAATAATGGACGAAGAGCACAGACGCGAGAGTATGTGGATGGACAACCCTGCGGGCCACACTGGACAGATTTCAGATATCAATGCGTGGTGAAATTGTAAAGGGATGGCCGAACACAACAATCCACGCACACGCGTGCGCGCACCTCCACGCTCGTGCCCACTCGTGCGCACCCCGATCCTGAACGATGTCGTCCATGATGGAATTTTTGGCAGGACCCTCACAACTGCACACAGGTGGCTCAGTCCACCAAGCGAGCATCCTGTAGATATTCGGCCCAAGCTGGACAGGAAAGCAACTCTCAAAAAAAACGTCTTGAAAAAACCGTCGCCACCTCTAGCGAAACTGTTTACGTATTGCTCTCCTGCCCCCGGCTCCTACATGTAAAACAGGCCTCCGTGCCCAGACAGAAAGAGAGGCCCACT